TCTTTTTTTCCTGTGTCATGTGTGGCAGCACTGTTCAATGTTTCTTGAAAACATTACCCACTGTAGTATGTGACGTGTGAATACACTCCAACTCTGTATCAACAACACTGTTGTGTAACTTCAGTTAAATACTTGTATGTGTGTAGATTAGAAAGAGGTCAGATAAAGGATCTGCAGTATTTTATGAAGTATTAATCGTACAAAGGTCAGTTTTATACAAGTAGAATTGTGTATTTACCTGGAGGCTGTCAGTAATGGCTACACCTCTCTATTTGGACTTGTAGATCTCGGCAGACTGGCAACTTTAAAAGTAGCTCTCAGTTCAAAAAAGGTTGGGCCCCCCTGATCTAGATGAACGGCTCTGCTTTGTTGACAATGACAGTTAAAACAAGAAGCAGACGTTAAGATGTATTTATGTATCATAGTTGTTGATTGGTGACTGCAGACTTATTAAAGGTCACCTATTATGCACAATGCACTTTTTGATATCTTTTACACATAAATATGTATCCCCTGTGTGTCAGGAGACTCACAAAGTGTCATAAAATACAACCCCCTCTCTTTTCTACCTTACCCACATCTCTAAAAGCGGGGGAACAACTGAGCTGATCCAGATTTGCTGCGTCATGACGACATTACTAAAATGTGGGCTGGCTTTACATTGAACTCCTGGGGTATGAGGCAAAACACTTCAGAGACATGTTTTGTATAGATATGGGCCTATAACAGGGGTATTCAACAAAAATTCAACGAGGTCCAGTTAGAGAAAATCTCCCCATGTAAAGGTCTGGAACATCAAAATGTCTAACTTGCTTTATGAATTAGTGTGATATATATTGAAGTAGCCTGTAGCTTTATCAATCATCCAGTGCTAAAGCACCGCCTGTTGCAGTCAGTAGGGATGAAATAGAACGATAGTTACGTCTGTAACTACGGTTCTATGAGTCCCGGATGACCGCCAGAGTTTCCTGTCACTCAGAATTATTGTGTGCTCTCGAGAAGATTCTGGGAACAGATCCTCTGATGACACTGGCTGATATAGCCGGTGTCACGTGGGTCACAGGTGACTTTGTTGTTATTGGTACTCGTACGGCGCATGCGCGCGATGGACATATCCAG